GTGGGGGCGGGTCTCGGCCGCGCGCCGCCTCCGGGGTTCCCGCCTTCTCTCGAGGCCTTGCCGCGCCCTCGGCGTTTCCAGGGAAGCTGGCGCAGCGGCCTCTCGAGTGGCGGGGGGATCTCGGCCAGTGGCGCCCTGATGGACACTGGTGGCCCAGGAACGCGCCGTCCCTGAGCGCCCGGCCCCATTCCGCTCCCAGTAGAGAGTGAAGGCCGGGCTGGCAGTGAAGGGAACGGCTCTCCCCACCCCGCGCGTCCTCGTCGTCCTGCACCGCCGGCGCGTCGTACACCTGAGCAACCGCACCTGCCGCAGCCTCGCCTCCCAGAACTCGGGACTCCTGGACGCCTAATAGGAGCTGTGACTTATCCCCCTCTAGGGCTGATCTCCACTTACGTCCGCTTAAAACTACGTACAGATTGTCATTTCACTTGGAATTATGCAGTTTTTTTTAAATATAAAAAAGAAGTTTTGGAGTGGTGGTCCAGGAACACATGAATTGTTTGCATTGCAGAGTACCTTCTGCCGACCTACTGCCTGATACTCTCTGGGGTCCGGGAGCTCTTGTGGCCTCACTGCTGTTTGGGGCCCAGGTGAGGAGCTCTGCTGGAGCCATTCCCTCATGCTGGGCCTCCTGGACAGAGTCTGCTGGGACCCTAGGTTGTGGTTGCCCCAAGGAACTCACTGTGCTCCTAGAGTCGTGGGGCTCCAGGGATGCATTTATCATCTTGCTTTTGCCCCAGTTTTCATGTAGACCTGGTACTTTCTGTCAGGGGGGCATATTGTGGGGATTGGGCCATGACCCGAGAAGACCCAGCTGTAGAGGCAGAGTGGATCAAGCAGGCGCTTTGGCTGTGACTCCTGGCCCCACCCCATTCAGGCTGTGTGGGGGAAGTTGCTTACCTGTTCTGCCAAGGGATGAGCGAGAGTCTGCACAGTGCCACCCCGGTAGTGGGTAGAGCCATGTGAAGTTGCTGCGCTTGAGCTCAGATGGGGCCAGACATGGGGAATTTCATATGGACCAGCTCTTAGGAGATATTCAGTGCTCGTTTCTTCCTTGGAGGGAACCACAGGGCCAGTGCATTAAAGAGGCCATTCACAACACCTAGTGACTGGTGTAGCAGCATCTAATGGCAGGGTGACAGGCAGAGGACAGAGGGGCCTCATTCAGGCTTCCTGTGAAGCAGAAACTTGTGATGGGTTTGAAGAGGGGGGTGGTGGCATGTTCTTTTCTCCTTTACATGTGCCTGGCATGTACATGGGCCAGGAGATGAAAATGAGCCAGAGTTTAATATTTGACGTGTGTATTCCCCGAGCTTGCCATGGTTTGTAAGCATGCGTAAACGTGCTTAAAGGAGTGTTGAGGGTGATGAGGAAGGTTCACCTCGTTGCAGGAAGAAACAGGGCACCTCTTGTTCGAGAACCCAGGCCAGAGTGGATGATGGTGATGTGGGAGGGAATCTGGGGACAGAATTGATGGAGTGGGGCATAAAATGAGGAATATGGGGCTGGTTTGGAAGGCGGGCTGTCCTGGAGACACAGTTTTTCTCATGTAAATGGCCTTATATAATTTTTATGTGTCTGTGAAAGTGTGCACTTCTGTTACATTTACACAAATATTTGTTAAATGCGTTTGTTTTTATAAGCACAGTTGTCATTTGAAGGAGCCAGTGTCTCATGAAAAGCTGATATTAGATCTCATATTCTTGAATAAGATCTTAGTGGGAGACCATGTGTGAACAGAGTCTAAAACCCTTCAGTTTGAGGGACTGAACAGAGCTAGGTTGTGTCTTCTGATGGGTGACATTCTGTGGAGGTCCCTGGTGCATTGGTGAGCTGTGTCGTGAAAAATAGAACATCTGATTCCATAAAGGAGGATCTTAGATTGACCTGGCTTAATTAATTTTTTGCTATTTCTGTACCTTGTCTCAGAATCTATGGCTAGGAAGTTTTGGCTAGGCTATATATTTCCTCAATTGGGGGGAAAATGGGAGCAAAAAGAGATTTAGCATTTATGTATTTTTAAACCTTAAGCATGCCTTGATTAAGCTATCAGTCTTTTAAATAGATGTATTTTTTTAAATTGTATTTTTCTGTGAACTGCCAGGGACAAGAAAAGCTATTCTGCTAGTTGGCCGTATTGCTTTCTTTTGTCTGTATATAGGCATAATTAGCAGTTCCTTCGGATAGAATTCTGAACTTAAATGCTAGTATTGCAGATATTAATGAAGGCAGAGTTTGTGGGACAGGGATCTGTTGGTTGACGTGGGTCTGGTGAGGTTTGGCTGAGTACACTGGGCCAGCCCCAGAGCCTCATGTTCCCCACCAGCTCGTTGGCTTTGTGGTTCTGTTACTTTTTTCTTACTTACCTTTGCCTTTACTACTTCTCCACGTTTTTGCGCAGCTTGCTCACTTCCGACAGAGAAAAACAAAAGGTGACTGTGCGCATCCGAAGAAAAAGACGGCGAAGAGGAAGGGCCCGGCTGTCGATGCGCCTGTCCAGGAGGAGAGCCCGGTAGCCACCGAGGATGGTGGACTCCTGGGAAGAGGGGGCGTTTGCAAAGACGAGTCATGCAGTGACACCCCTGATGGGGCAGGAGCAGCGCAGGTGGGTTTCCTCAGCACTGTGGTTTAACGTTTTGCTTATCTTCTTCTTGTTGCTGGCTATCAAAGGTGGGGAAAGAGAGCTTCACTTTACAAAAAGGGAATGTATTTTTATGTTTTCATCCCTACTAAATGTCTTATCTTCTATGATTTTGGATTGACTGAAGACAAGTGTCAGTATAGGTTCTTGCTTTGGTAACGGAAATTTTATCAGTGTGAGTTCCTTGGCTGTGGCTGTGTCAGCCCCTGTCACAGGCTTTTCTTTGGACACTTAAACCATAATAGTCCTTCACCTACTTATCGTCCTTGGTTTTTTACCTTCTTTCTGAACACTGGGATGAAGAGGGAATGGGTGAAGGTGTTGCACAAATGGTGTCTTGCTGGACGAGGCACCACCATCCTCTGCTTGAGGCCCTGTGAACTGCAGGGCGGGTGCGGCTGACTGGTGGATGCAGGGCCTGCGTGGCCTGCCGATCCCCTGTAGGTGGGCTTTCACTGTGGCTTCTTACGTGCATTATTGAGGGCCCTTGAATTGTGATTATTCCTTGTTGGGTGCGACAGAGCAGATGCAGGTTTAGGTGTTCGCTAGAATGAGCTGGAATACTGGTGACCCTGGGCAGAATTTGACAAAAAATCATTATGTGCCTGGCCTACTTTCTTGGAAAAGTGGCATCTTTGCCAGTATGTAGCTGTACTCCCTCGTCTGGGAGGCAGCTGGCCAGCAGGCTGGGGGCCCAGCCTTTGGGCCAGCCTGACCCTCCACTGCAGGCCTGAGGTTCATCCTCTGTGCTTGTCCTGGGTTAGGGCAGCAGTTCTCAGCAGCCTTGTCTCCATCACAGCTGTGCAAGTGAACGGAAGCTATAGTGAGGGTCCTGGGAGTTGACGTCCAGTGGCTGTTCTCTGTATGTTTTCTCCTAGCCTCCTTGAGGAGAAAAGCTCATAATTTATAATTAATATTTATTTTATTTTTACTTTCAAGTCAGAGAAGTGTTTTTATTTTAAATTAAATGTCCTACATATTTTAGCTTTTCATTTTGAAATAATGTTCAGCTTAACAAAAAATTTGCAAAAATTACCACAGGGTTCGTGGATACCTTTCACTTAGTTTCCTGAAATGTTAACATCTTGTGTTATCGGTATGATTATCACAATCAGTTTCAATTCACACTGAAACAATACTATGAGCTAATTGATAGAGCTTACTCAAATTTCTCCCACTGTCCCACTACTGTCCTTTTTCTGGTCCAGGATTATGTGCTGTATCTCAGTGTCCTGCCGTCTAAGTCTACTCCAGTCTGAGACAGTTTCTCAGTCTTACCTTGTCTTTTATAAGTTGGACGTCTTTGAAGAGTCCTTGGTGGATATTCTTTTTTTTTAAGATTTTATTTTTATTTGAGAGAGAGAAGGCGTGTGCACAAGCCGGGGTGGGGGGTGGGGAGGGGGAGGGAGAAGCAAGCTCCCCGCTGAGCAGGGCTCCTGACGCAGGGCTCGATCCCAGGACCCTGGGATCATGACCTGAGCCGAAGGCAGATGCTTAACCGACTGAGCCACCCAGGTACCCCCTTGCTAGTTATTTTGTGGAATGCCTGTCAGTTTGGATTTGTTTGATGTTTACTCCTGATTAAAATCAGGTTTGAATTTTGGCGAGAACATGGTAGAAGTGATGATATTCCCTGCTCAGTGCACCTGGTATTGATACTTGATAGTCTCACTACTACTGGTAATGTCAACTTTGATCACTTAGTTACTGTGGGACCTGCCAGATATCTCTGGATAGAAAAGTTACTGTTTTTAACTTTGTAGTTAGTAAGTGTATTGTGTGGAGATAGAGACCCTGCAAAGTTCTATTTCTCATGCTTTCCTCCACTAATTTTACCTTTCACTGATGATTCTTGCTTGCAACAATTATTATGGTGGTGTT